TGAAAGATCTTCCTCTCTGTCTCTCTTGCTCTCTGTATATCTAACATTCGAATAAAAATAAATAAATTTTTAAAAAGTAATAATAAATCGGAAAAAATGGGCTATTACTCTATTATCTTCCTTTTCCATTTGTTAGTTCATGGTTGTTTATATTAATAAAATCATAGTTACTCACGCATAAAATTCAACTGTATAGATGATTACATGATTCAGTAAGGAATCTTTTGATTGCAAAAGGCAGAAAACTGCAGTTAAACTTGCATAAACACAAAAGGCAATTTTTTGGTTGACTTCTGAAAGGGCCACTGAGTGATGTGATTGAAGGCATCATAGGATTCAGGTTTTAAGTAAGGTTAGGACATCTGCTTTGATCTTTGCTTCTGCCTTCTGATGCCTTAGTGCTGTTGGTGTGTTGCCTGTTGAGGCAGAAGGTACATGTGTCCAGAATGTTGCCTGGCAGAGAAGAGCAAGACCTATTCCAGGATTGACCAGGAAATCTCATTGTCCCAGAGCAATCTCAGAGTCTGTCCACCATGGCTGCTGCCTGGGTCACACGGTTCACCTCTGGAATCCAAGTGTTTCACTAGAAGAACAGACTAAGAGTGAGGAAGGGATGGGAGGTAGTCTGTGTGGAAGACTTGGGCTGCAGGAGGAAATAGGAAGAAGGAGAGTGAATGTACTCTAAGTGGTTGAAATCACGGGGTCGCCAGACACACATTTGTACCTTTGAGCTTCAAGCTTCGTACTAGTTTCCTAGGCCTTAAGTTACAAAACTGAGTGCTTTACAAGGCAGAGAGGGATTGTCTCATGATCCTGGAGGTGGGAAGTCTGAGATCCAGGTATCCAGGTATCCAGGTATCCAGCTTCCTCTGAGAGCTGAAGTGGGAAGCCATTGCACATCCTTCTCCCAGCTTCCGATGGTTTGTGGGGCCTTTTGATGTGCACTGGGGTGGAGAAATAACACCGTGACATCTGTCTCCATGCCCACGGGCGCTTTGCCTATGTTCACGAAGACTCCAAATAAATTTTCTTTTTCTTTTTTTTTAAAGTAAATATATCAGGAGAGTGGATCCTATACCAACATCATCTCATTTTAATTATATCTATAATGACTTTATTTTAAAACATGATTACATTCTGAAGTACTCAGCCTTAGGGTTTCAACGTATGAATTTTGGAGTACTTATTTCCAATACACTTTCATTGTGTTTCCAAAATATTTATTTATTTAAAAATAGTTATGCATTTTTATTTGAAAGGCAGATTTTACACAGATAGAGGAGGAGGAGAGATAGAGAGAGAAGGTCTTCCACTTTGTTGGTTCACTCCTCAAATGGCTGCAATGGCCTGAGCTGAGCTGACCTGAAGCTGGGAGCCAAGAACCTCCTCTGGGTCTCTCATGGGGTGCAGGGTCCCGAGGACTTAGGCCATCCTTTGCTGCTTTCTCAGATCACAAGCAGAGAACGCGATCAGAAGTGGAGCATCCAGGACATGAACTGGTGCCCATGTGGGATACTGGAGCCACAAGGTGGAGGATTAGCCTGCACACCACTGTCACCTCACAAAAGATGAATTTTTAAATTTTGTAATTTTATTTGGAAGTGTGTGTGTGTGTGTATTTGAGAGAGGGGTGGAAAGCGAGTGAACCTGTTAACTTCCTATCTGCTGGTTTTTTCTCTAAATACGTGCAACAGTTGTGGCTGGGCTAGATTGAAGCCAGTAGCCAAAAACTCAACCTAGGCCTCCCATGTGAGCAGCAGGAATCTAACCACTCGAACCATTTCCTGTTGTGTTCCCAAGGCGTACAGGAGCAGAAAGCTGGAATTGGAACCAGAGGCAAAAGTTGAAATTAGGCATAGCAACATGGGATGTAGATATCCCAGACAACATCTTAACTGCTGTGGCAAATGCTTACCCCCAGCATGTTCCTACATACTTAACTTTCAGTGCTGGATGTGGCCTTGACTAGGGTCCCTCCAGTGATCATCCAAACCCCCTGAAATCTTGGCCACACCTTCAAGTGGGTGGCACAAGAATCCACCAACCATTCCCTAATCGGTTGAGAGACCACCAATGGAGAACATCTGACTCAGATAAAAAAATCCCAAGACTCTTTGGAAACCTGGGTCTCTCTCTCTCTAATTTATTTATTTGTTGGAAATAAAAAGTGTTTGTTTATTTATTCTTATTTTTACAGAGAGAGAAGAAACAGATCTTGCATCCGCTGATTTGCTCCCCAAGTGGCCGCAATGGCCAGAGCTGAGCTGATCTAAAGCCAATAGCCAGGAGCTTCTTCTGGGTCTCCCAGGCAGGTGCAGGGTCCCAAGGCTTTGGGCTGTCCTCCACTTGCTTTCTTAGGCCACAAGCAGAGAACTATCTGGGAAGTTGAGCAGCCGGAACACCTTTCAGGAGGCACCCCCATTTCCCAGCTTCCTCTTGAGAGGTGCTTTCCCCTGCCCTCTTCTTTCTATGTTCAGCTGGTCACTTTGTAAATAAAACTTGTCTGTCTGCAACTGATTGCCAGCTTTTTGTTTTAATATTAAGCTGAGAAAAGAACCCACTGAGCTTTTCTGATAACACTTTTCACATGGAATTGTCACCTCGTGTTGTGAGGTTAGGAGTCTGTCTTGCCAACCTGATTGGATGTCACCACCACGCACTAGATGCAGGACCTGGGGCAAAAGAACAAAGCTCTGCAAACCTCAGTGTCTGCATCAGTAAATGAGCATGGTAGTCCTCGACTCACTGGGTGTGTGCCGGACACACAGCACTGGGGAAATGTCAGTGTGGCTGTCTGTGAGGACAGAGTAGGGAAGGGCTGACAAACTCCACTGTGCTTCTCCCTGAGGCTGGCCTTCTCCAAAGAACTTTAGGAGGGGGAAGGGTATTTCGCCATCCATCAAACAGAAATTCAAAATCTGTTGAAGAAAGACCAAGTATTTCTCTCCCCGAAAGCCAGACGCCAGGAACTCTGAGCCAAGTTCATTGTCTTGGGCAGTGTGATTATGAAATGTCCCCTTTGGGTCCCACGTATCCATTCCTCTCTGTTTGCTTTTTTTTTTTTTTTTATTCACAAACTTGATCTTTCCCACCAGTTTTTAGATGTGGAATCAATCATTTTATTTACAGTTGCTCTGCTTCTGGCTCCATCGATTTGGGGAAATGGAACAGACATCTGTCCACCCACAGCTTTTTGTTCTCTCACGCCTTTCCTCCAGGGTCTAATTTGACTTGGTTAAATGATTATTGAATGCGAACTAGAACTTCACGTTCTTGCAGGCAGCAGGATCTATTTGATACAGGTCTACCAGGCCTTCCCAAGGTCAAAGCACAAAGTTACAAATCACTCTTCCAAAATATGGTCACTTTCATTTAGTGCCAGGTGTTGTTCTAAGCAACAGAGACCTAACAATGAACAAGAGAGCCACTGTCCCTGGCCTGAAGAAGTACACCTTCTGGAGACATTCATTCTCGAAGAAACTACAGAAGGAGAGCTTACTGCATGTCAGATATTATACATCATTAAACATGTGTGTGTGTGTGTGTGTGTGTGTGTGTGTGTGTGTGCTGGGAGAGGCAGAACATAATAAACACAGTGAATATTTAATTATGTTGAAAAGTGATAGTTAGGGCCTGGTGCGATAGTGACTAAATATGCATCTTGCATCTGCCTGGGTGCCATATGGGTGCTAGCTAATGTCTGGGCTGCCCCACTTCCCATCCAGCTCCCTGCTTGTGGCCTGGGAGAGCAGTGGAGGACGGCCCAAAGCCTTGGGACCCTGTATCTGTGTGGGAGACCCAGAAGAAATTCCTGGCCCTTGGCTTCGGATCAGCTCAGCTCCAGTCGTTGCAGCCACTTGGGGAGTGAACCAGTGGACGAAAGATCTTTTTGTCTCTCCTCCTTGTATATCTGCCTTTCCAGTAAAAAAAAAAAAAATAAGAAAAAGAGAGATAAATAAGTGCAAAGGGAAAAAACCGGGTAAGGAAGGCTAAGGGATGTCGAGGAAGTTCATAATCTTAAATAGAGTCATCAGGGTGATTCTCACGGAGCAGGCAGTGAGCTTGTGTATACGGGGAAAGATCAAGTCTCAAGGTCCTGGAGCCTAGCATCTCCAGCTTTTTGAAAGGGTAGCAAGGAGGCCAGCTTACCTGGGGCTGAGCAGGGTAGGGACAGTGGAAAACGGAGAAGGCCAGACCAAGGAGAGTTTTCAGCTGTGTGAGGTGAGCATTACTGCCAAGTGCTGACTAGGATGCCGCTTGACTGTAGGCTTTAAGCGCTGAGGTGGTGCAGGTGCAGGTACAGGTGCAGGTAGGCGGGCGGGCCAGTGCAATCCCACAGGGGATGCACACCGGAGGGCTGGCAAATGGAGGAGACCAGAAGTGGGCAGATTAGGGATCGGGTCTGAAGACCCAGTCAATAGGATTTCTGGCATATTGCATCTGGGAAGTGTAAGAGGCAGGGACCACAACAAGCTGCTTGGACAGCAAGAATGGAGTAGTTACTGATATGGGAAAGACTTGGGCCTGAGGCGCGCGTGTGGGGGTGGAGGTGGGGGGTGTCTATTCGCTATCCAAGTGGGGAAATAGTTTTGGGGACATCTCTAAAGTGTCGGGATGTGACATCCTGATCCAAAGCCTGGAAGACCCCGCGGAGTAGCCTCCAGAAGCAGCCACGTGCCCTTTCTCTGAGCCCTCATAAGGGCCTAGGACGGCAGCAGCCAAAGCCGTTCTCTTTCTTCTTTGGGGAACGGCGAGAAAAAGGCAGAAAGAAGACGACGCGCGGCTACGGGGGACCGTCTCCGAACGATCAGCGCCCGCCTGGGGTCCAGCTGCAGGCCTCCTCATGCGGGGCAGCCAGGCTGCGAACGCCCGGCCGGCGGGGGCGGGGCCTGTGCGGGGGGCGTGGCCGCCGCCGCGCGCGCGCGCGCGCCACAGAGGGGGGCGTGGCCGTCGTGGCGCGCTGGCGGCCGGCCTGGGCGCGCGGCGCCTCCCTCTCCTCCGCCGCGGGTGATCAGCTGGTCTGCGCTTCCCTGACGTGGGCCGGGGCACGTCACTGCCGAATGGCAGCCTCCAGAAAGCCGCCGCGAGGAAGGTGAGGGGACTGTGCCGGGGCGCCGGCGTCCACGCTGCGGGCGGGCCCCTCTTGCCGGATCGCGCGTGCTGCACCCGGGAGGGCCGGACCCGGCGGGTGAGGGACTGTGGGCGATCCGCGGCCCGGGGGGCGGCCCTTGCTGGCCGGAGAGCAGGAGTCCCAGGACTCGGGGGACAGAGCCTTGGCAGCTCGTTTCCGGCGGAGCTGCGTGCACCTTCGGGGAGCCCGATCGTGGCCTTGGGACAGGTGTTCCCAGGGAACTGCCACACTCGGCCCGGGAGCGGTGGCCGTCACCGCCCCTAGGCCTCACAGAAAGGCCCGGCTATTGCAGGAACTTGGTTCCTTTTGGCTCCTCCTGGGGTCTCAGGAGATTGGGGATCCCTTATCCCTGGCCCTGCTGTGGCCATCTCATCCTCCCATGACCACCGACACCTGCATTTTTGTCTTACTGATTTGTTACTGCCACGAAGATGGGCAGCCATGGGGCCTTCCAAATGGTTTCAGAAGCTGTGTAAGGGAATATTTTGGTATAACCTTAAGGAAAAATCTCTTAAGGGACTTCTCCCTGGACACAGGTAAAGTGAGAATAATAATCCCTGGATCTCAAGTTGAAAAAGTTTTGTTAAAGCGCCCTCTCCCCTACCCCACGCCCCCCAGTCTACTTACTAGAGCCAGCCAACAAGCTGAGACATAGAATTCGCAAAGATGGGAAGGCCAGACCCTCTCCAGGGGACCCACAAGGAGTCAGTCACCCACACCCGCTGATCTGTTGAGACCTGGGTGAACTCACTTGGCAGCTTGAGTAGGCCATATCTTTTTCTTTTTTCTTTCTTTTTTTTTTTTTTTTTTTAGATTTGTCTATTTTTCATTGGAAAAGCAGATTTATACAGAGAACAAGACAGATTTTCCATCTGCTGGTTCACTCCCCAAATGGCCACAACAGCTGAAGCTGAGCCAGTCCAAAGCTGGGAGATTCTTTTGGGTCTCCCATGGTGGTGGCAGGTTCCTGAGGCTTTGGGCCATCCCCTACTGCTTTCCCAGGCCATAAGGCAGGAAGCTGCATGGGAAGTGGAGCATCCAGGATGCGAACCAGTGTCCCATATGGGATCCTGGCACATGCAAAGCAAGGATTTAGCTACCGAGCAATCGCGCCAGGCCCACAGACCACATCTTGTGCTGGTGTTTGTGAGTGGACCAATCTCCAGCCCACCTTCACCTGGCATTGGCCTTGCAATGGCGTGTTGCATAGAACCATAGTTGCCCCGTGGAAGGAGACAGGGAGGGTGATAAGCCTTGTGGAAGTGACTTCTTGTCACCTGACTGTTGGAGATGGAATCAGATGAGCGGATAACAACAAGTTGAGGTTGTAGGTTAGGACATTGCCTTTGAGGGCCCCCAGTCAGCTAGATTCATATAGTCACAGTATTTTAGGATCAAACAGGTCTTTGGGCATCAGCTTTTACGGCCCGATGACCTCCCACAGGAGTCCGTGAAAGGCTGAGAGAGGCCGTTTGTGTCAGGTGTCTCCGCCAGGGGAAGGTTTGGGTACCTGCTGTGTGAAGTGAGGGTTTCTTTGAGCTTCAGTGATAGAAACTGAACTTGCAGTTGTCTTGATACAGTTGAGCTGACTTGTAGTGTGGTGGGAACCAGCAACACCTGTTTTGGCATCAGTCTGGGCCTCTCTTCTGCTGCTCTTGGCTCCGAGTTGCCCAACATTGGCTCTGCCTCAGGCTGGTATTGTCCTTCGGGAGGGCCGGGATGGTTCTGGCTGCGAGGCCCAGTGGAGCTCCAGTCCTCTCCCCTGGTACATGGAGCAGGAGCCCCAGCTCGATTCCCGCCTGACTCGCTTGATTCCCATGTCCAGCCATGTCAATCAATGATGATGGCCAGAGGGGTGGGAAATCAGAACACTGGTGGGTAAGAAGGTGAAACCCATCCCAACCACCTTGACTTTTGAAATGAAGGAGGGACATTCTGCAAAGGAGAACCAGATTGCTTCTCAGAGAGGCAGGGTGGCCTCTGGGTAGGTAAAGGTGGTCTGGTTTGTTTCCCCCCGTACTACTTCCGTTTGACCCTCGTGGCATCTCGCTAAGTGCTCTGAGCATGCTGACCTTTGGTTTGTGCTGATCTGACAGCCGACTTGTCTGATTCTTACCGTGGAGTGGTGTGGAGGGACGTAGGGAATGGGATCCTGACTCCTGCTGGGATTCCTTTAGAAAAGAAAGACAAGTGCATGGTTTTTAGTAGTTCTTTTGTAATGATCTAATATAGGATTGAACTTACCCACCCTGTAGCTCGTCATGACGTTGAGGTGTTGGCTGAAGAAGCCCTAGGAAGGGGAAGTGTGCAGAGCTGGAGTTCTGGTTCTGGCGCTGTCGCCGACAGCACTGAGGCCTTGGGAGAGTCACTTGATCTCTGTTACTCAATGCTTTTGTCCAGAGAAGGGAGTTGACTTACATGGTCCTTGTGTCACATTCTTTTAGATTTAGCACTTATTGATAATCCTGCTTTGAGAGAAAGTGTCCGAGAAAGCGAAGGCAGGTTGGATCTTAGATCCCTCAGAGGCTGAGAGGTGACAGGAGCAAGGAAGTCATGATGTGTCTGCTTTGTGGCTTCTTGTAAGCTTGACACAGAGGTGGAGGTGGTGGTGCTCACGGGGGAGCTTGAACCCGCTTGTCAGAACCAGTTTCTGAAGTTGGCTTTGTCGCCGCTGAGACGGATGGCCTGTGGTAGGTTGTCTCAGTTTCTTCTATCAGATGATTGAAGAGGACTACCCTGCCCAGTCCAGAGTATCTAACCAGTCACTTGGTCCAGTCTTCTACAAGTATATATAGAAAAATTGACTTGGGCCCGGCGCGGTGGCACAGTGGTTAAGGTCCTCGCCTTGCACGCCCAGGATTCCATATGGGCGCTGGTTCTAATCCCGGCAGCCCTGCTTCCCTTCCAGCTCCCTGCCTGTGGCCCGGGAAAGCAGTCGAGGACGGCCCAAAGCTTTGGGACTCTGCACCTGTGTGGGAGACCCAGAAGAGGCTCCTGGCTTCGGACCAGCATAGCATCGGCCGTTGCGCTCACTTTGGGAGTGAATCATCAGCCGGAAGATCTTCCTCTTTGTCTCTCCTCTCTGTATATCCGCCTTTCCAATAAAAAAAATAATAAAAATAAATCTTAAAAAAAAAAAAGAAAAATTGACTTGTCTCTATCATCTTGTAAACCTGTATGAAGTCATAGGAAATTGAGTGGGAATGCCACTTGGATCCTTATAGAAGGAAAGGCGCTCTGAGGGCAGACCTCGCGGTGCTGCAGGTCTGGCCGCCGCCTGGGATGCTGTCATCCTTTATCAGAATGCTGGTTTGGATCTTCCATTTCACATTCAGCTTCCTGTGCTCTGTGGTGACCCGCGTGCTTCAGTTCCTGCCCCCATGTGGGAGACCAAGATGGCCTGGCCCAGCCTCGCTGTGAAGGGCATTTAACTTTTTTTTTTTTTTTAATTTAAAGACTTATTTTTTTTTTTTATTGGAAAAGCAAATATACAAAGAGAAGGAAATACAGAAAGATTTTCCGTCTGCTGGTTCACTCCCCAAATAGCTGCAATGGCTAGAGCTGAACTGATCCAAAACCAGGAGCTTCTTCTGGGTCTCCCACATGGGTGCAGGGTCCCAAAGCTTTGGGCCGTCCTCTTCTGCTGTCCCAGACCAAAAGCAGGGAGCTGGATGGGAAACTGGAGCAGTTGTATACCAATTGGTGCCCATATGAGATCCCAGCGCATGTGAGGTGAGGATTTAACCACTAGGTTATTGCACCAGGCCCTGTTAAGGGTATTTACGGTGTGAACTGGTAGATTGAAGATATTGCTCTGTCTCATCTCTTTTTGTCCCTCTACCTTTCAAACAAATAAATCTTTCAGAAGGAAAACGAGATATCTTTATAAAATTAATAGCTTGGTTGGGATACAATTCATCGTCATACATTCTCTTTATTTGTATACAACTCAAAAGTTACTTCATCAAGTTACACAGTCATCACAATTTTGGGACATGTGCCTCACTTCCAAAACAAATCTTACACCCATTCCTCTAGCCCCATCCTAACCGTCAGAAACCACCGGTCTACTTGCTGTTTCTATAGATTTGCCCCTTTTGGTCATTTTATATAAATGGAATCGCATACTATGTAACCTTTAGTGGCCGACTTTATTTCTCTGAATTCATGTATGTTATAGGTGTGAGTTTCCATGAAATGGATAGACTCCTTCTGTTTACCAGTTGATGAACACTTGGGTTGATTTTTTTTGCTATTGTAGCTATAAATGTGCGAAATGTCTACAGGCTGTGAGGTTATTATCAGTTTCGTTGACGTATCTAGGAATATGTACCTAGCTTGGATCATATGGTAACTCTGTCAGTTTCCCAAAGCTCCTCCATTTTATATTCCCACAAACAGCGTGTGTGGGTTTGAGTTTTTCCAGTCCTCACCTATGCCTGTTGTCTGTCTTTTTGTTTATATCCTTACAGTAGGTGTAAATCATTGTGGTTTGGTTGACATTTCTCCAATGATTAATGGTGTTTGTGTTTTCATGTTCTTTTTGGCTGTTTGCATATCCTTATTGAAAAATGTTCAAGTGTTTTCCCCATTTAAACATTGAGTTTTCTTTGTTGTTGAGTTGTAATATTCTTTACAAACTTTAGGTACTAATTGCAAATATTTTTTCCCCATTCTGTGGGTTGTGGATGTCTTTCTGCTTTCTTGAGGGTATTCTTTTCCACACAAAAGTTTTTTGGTTTTGTTGAAGTTCAGTGTACTCATTTTTCTTTTGTTTTGCTTTTTTTTTTTTTTTTGGTTTTGGTGTATCTTAAAGCATAGGTTAAGGGCTGACACTGTGGCATTGTGGGTTAAGCTTATGTCCGTGGCACTGGCATCCCATATAGGTGCTGTTCCACTTCTGATCTAACTCCCTGCTTGTGCCCTGGGAAACCAGTGGAGGCTGGCTCAAGTTCTGTTGCCACTGTACTCATTTGGAAGAACTGCAGGAGACCCCCAGCTCCTGGCTTTGGATTGACTCAGTTCCAACACTTTTGGCTGTTTGGGGAATGAACCAGTGGATGGCAGATCTCTTTTTTGGTCTCTTGTTCTCTCTGTGACTCTGTCTTCCAAATAAAAATAAAATAAAATATTGAAAAGAGAGAAAAACCAACCCAGGAATTATAGCCTGTATAAGGTCAGACCTATTTTTTTTTAAAGTTTTATGATTTTGCTTTTACATTTATGTGTATGATCCATTTTGAATGAATTTTTGTACATGGTGTGAGATGGTCCCTACATCATTTCTTAAGAAATGGTTGAGTTTTTTATTTGAAAGACAGAGTTACACAGAGAAGGAGAGGCCGTCCATCTGATGGCATACTCCCCAAATGGCCGCAGCCACCCGGGCTGGGCCAGGTCAAAGCCAGGAGCCCGGAGCTGTTCCTGGATCTCCCCCATGGGTGCAGCAGCCCGAACACCTGGGCCATCTGCGGCTGATTTCCCTGTGCGTTAGCTGGGAGCTGGACTGACAGAACTACTGTTCGTGCAGAGCATAGACAAGGGCTCTAAGCTCAGAGCCATTGCACCTTTGTGCTTTTTGTTCTCCTTCTCTGGAGTGTTCTAGAAATTCACGTGTCTTGCATCCTCACGTGTTTTAAATCTCTGCTAAATGTCATCTGTAGTCAGAGTCCTTTCTTGGCTGTTTCATATGAAATAATCTTAACCTCTCTGACCATCTCTTCACTTTCCTTTGCTCTGCCTGTTTTCATAGGATGTATATTTTTTATCTGGTTGGATACTTGCTTTGTGTCTGTTGATTTTTTTTTTCTTGGTTTTCCTTTTACCTTCCCACCATGCCTCAAGTATTTTTTTGTTTAAGATTTATTTGTTTTTATTGGAAAGTCGGATATACAGAGAAGGAAATACAAAGAGAAAGATCTTCCGTCTGCTGATTCACTCCCCAGGTGCCCGCACCTGTTGGAGCTGGGCCAATCTGAAGTCAGGAAACAGGAGTCTCTTCCGGGTCTCCTACGCCGGTGCAAGGTCCCAAGGCTTTGGGCTGTCCTTGACTTTTCCCAGGCCACAAGCAGGGAGCTGGATGGGAAGCGGGGCTGCCGGGATTAGAACCGGTGCCAATATAGGATCCTGGCGCGTTCAAGGCAAGGACTTTAGCCACCAGGCTATTGTGCTGGGCCCTCAAGTAAACTTCTTGAAGTTAAGGTAGTTAACTTTGTGGTTCACTTTGGTTTGTATGATAGGATATGGATTATGGAAGATTCTCAGTCAATACTCATTGATCAAATTAAACTTGAAAGAAAGGAAGAAGTGTGGAGGGGCCTTAAAGCATGAGTAGTTCGGGCCCGGCGCCGTGGCGCAAGTGGTTAAGTCCTCGCCTTGCACGCCCGGGATCCCATATGGGCGCCGGTTCTAATCCCGGCAGCCCCACTTCCCTTCCAGCTCCCTGCCTGTGGCCTGGGAAAGCAGTTGAGGACGGCCCAAAGCTTTGGGACCCTGCACCCGCGTGGGAGACCCGGAAGAGGCTCCTGGCTTCGGATCGGCATAGTATCGACCCGTTGCGGCTCACTTGGGGAGTGAATCATCGGATGGAAGATCTTCCTCTCTGTATCTCCTCTCTGTATATCCGCCTTTCCAATGAAAAAATAATAAAAATAAATCTTTAAAAAAAAAAAAAAGCATGAGTAGTTCAAGAGTAAATCTTAGCCTGGATGGAGACAGAGGCATTCATGCCTGGGGTCCCAGACATTAGACTATTCCCATATGGAGACAGGAAGCTCATGTGCAAACCTTCTAGCTCAGAAACTGCTGTGAAAATTAGTACCAAACAGTGACAGTTAAGTGTGTACAGACCAGGATCAGTTCTCATGAATAAATATCTCTACTGAAGAAAAGTTCTTTTAAAACATTTCACTTGCGGGGCTGGCACAATGGCTCAACATGCTAGTCCTCCAACTGCGAGTGCTGACAGCCATCCTAAGGGCTTGGTTTCATGTCCCGGTCGCTCTACTTCCAATCCAGCTCTCTGCTTGTAGTGTGGGTAAGCAATGGAGCATGGTCCAAGGCTTTGGGATTCTGTACCCATATGGGAGATCTGTCTATTTCTGCTTTTTCTCTATAAATCTTCCTGTCAAATAAAAATACAATAAAGCTTAAAAAAGAATATTTTATTGAAAGTAAAATCTTGCCAGGTCACTTAAAATTTTTCATGGAAAATGCAATTAAGAGATGAGTTTGTTTTGAAAAATGTGCGTAGTTTTTCTGTAATATGCATTTTTTTAGAAGCAGTTTCGAGATCCCATGTATTCTAGTTATATAGGAGATCAGACATAGCTGAAGAGAATTCATGAACTGGAAGCTGGGATTGAGAAAGCTTGCCTGCATGGTGCTCCCCCCCATTTATTTTATTTGAAAGGTAGCGGTCCAGAGAGGACAGGCAGGGAGAGAGAGGTTTTGCATTGATTGGCTTGTCTGCAAAACCGGAAGTGGAGCCACTGGGATCTGAATGCTGTGCCACTATGGGATGACGGTGCCACAGGCGGAGACTTTGCCAGCTGTGCTAAGTGCCATGGCCCCAGCCCGCAGGGTGACATTGTGCACCCGCGTATTTTAGCTGATACCTACAGTGTCTCGGTTGTTGGGGTGAGTTCTGACTCACTTAATAAACTGCTGACTCAAGTCACCGCTGTGGCCGAGCCCTGCCACGTTTACTGTGGGCAAAGTCTGCAACTTCCTGTTCTTGTCTTTTTAAGGGCTCATCACCAGGATTTTCAACTGAGAAACTTAAGAATAATTGAACCTAACGAGAGGACACCCTCAGGAGACACGGGCGTGGGAAAAGGTAATACTGTGTGCTTACATGAAACGGCGCCTCTGGAAAGAGTTAGAGATCTTCTTGCCTCAACCTCAAGTTGAATGTGAAGTGCAGATAAGGAATTAGTAATTGATCAAGGTTGGTGGTGACGAAAAACCATTTGTCTTTGCTTTATTGGGCGGTTGCTTACTGTGTTTATATAGTTATGATTGTTTCAAAGGTAATTAGTAGAGAATCAAGATTTTAGGTGTTTTCCATTCTTGTAAGGGTTTCAGTCAAGGTAGTAGAGAAGCAGTATTGCAACTATTCTGTTTTTTTTTTTTAAAAACTTATCCTCTGTTTCTGTTACAGTGTTTCATTGATTATGTTAGTTATTAGCTTTCAATTTTCATCAGATTATAAAATGAGGAAAACTTATATTATAGTGCCTTATAAATTGAGTGTGGACTTAGGACAATCTTTTGGGATGAATTTCTTGGCGTGTTCCTTCTTCCTGGAACTTGTCTTGATGGTGTTGCCAGAAACCTGAGTTCTGAAAATAGTGCCCAGGTTTTTTTTTTTTTAAAGATTTATTTTATTTTTGTCGGAAAGTCAGATTTACAGAGAGAAGGAGAGACAGAGAGGAAGATCTGTGTAGTGGTTCACTCCCCAGGAAGCCACATCTGCCGGCGTTGAGCAGAGCTGAAGCCAGGAGTCAGGAACTTGCTCCAGGTCTCCCACACAGATACAGAGTCCCAAAGCTTTGGGCCGTCCTCCACTGCTTTCCCAGGCCACAAGCAGAGAGCAGAAGGGAAGTGGAGCTGCCGGGATACAAACTGGCACCCATTTGGGATGCTGGCGCATGCAAGGCGAGGACTTTGGCCACTAGGCTACCGTGCCAGGACTGGCTTACAAGTTTCTATCTCCTGTAAGCCAGTGCTTTTTTCTTGACTACCCAGGAGAAGCACAGCATGTCCTGTAATTTACTGCAAAATTGATCCCTTGGGGCACATGAGAAACTGTAACTATTTAATCATTGTGGTCAGGATTAGTGCTGTAATTGGATGGAGTTTTAATTCTTTTTTGTTAGCAAAAAATCCAAATGTATTCAGTACATTTTGGGCTATTTTAGGAGGTGAGAGAGGAAGAAGGAAGAATGAATAAGAAAAAGATCAAGTAAAGAAAGGGAAAACCTGATAGAATGATCAAATTTAAGCTGGATGTGAATTTCTTTTTGTTGTAGTTGAGGACACTGGGGTTCTGGAAGCTTTAGTTATCTCCGCTGGAAGCTAGACCAGGCTGTTTTGATCCTGTTGATCTCGACGTGCTTTAAGTCCCTGTGTAGTCCTCTAGATGGTTTGCGTAGTAGAGTACGAACTGGAGAACTGGCTGGGCCTTGGGTCCCAGGTCCTGCATGATCTGGCTGACTTGATGGGAAAAATAGAAAAAGTGGAACTTTCCCTGGAGGTTTATTGTGAGAATTGACTAGTGATCGGTGGAAAGCACAGAGGAACAAACTACCCTCTTTGAAGTTCCTGATTGTGGAAGAATGTGCATGTGCTGGGATGCTTAAACTCTAGCAGGGCCTCAAGTCCTGAGACAAGGTGGGTGGGAATTCCAACTGGTGCTTCAGATCCAGATAGGATGACTTCTTGAGCTCTGACAGTGGATTAGATGCTGGACTTCATGCCCTCACATGCAGTATCATGTTTAATTTTCCTAGCCCCCCGGTGAGGTAAATGTAGCGTGCTTTTCATGTTCAAGTGGTGGGAAGTCTTGTTTGTGATGAAGGCTGAAGGTTTGGGAGCTTGTTCCTAAAAGCAAGCTCACATAACCGAGATGTGCTTTTATGAGTCATTCTCTTTAAGACATGATTTAAGAATACCTGGCCATGCGTGGGGTCATTCTACATCATGGGTCAGGCCTGTTCTTGGCTGGCTTCTCTGCACACTTTAATTCAGCCTTTGACTGCTTCTAACATTTTTGACAAGTGGTGCAATGTGGGGTGAGCAGATATTGTCATATGGCATTTCCCCCACAATACTAGCTTTTTTCTTGCACTGAATATTGATTATGTTGGGTCTGAAAAGATAGACATTGTTGCATTCGCTCAACCATCTTTGAGTGAAAGCATCTGTGTGTTGGACACAGGGCTAGATACTTAGATATAGAAATGATATGATGCATGCCTCAGGGAGGGAGCAGTGTACGTGCCTGTTGGACCATTTATTGTTGGGTAATTACGCATTGAGCTGTAATATTTGAAAATACTTAACTTCCATTGTGTGGCAGGTGGTGTTTCTAAGTGGTTTATGTATTAATACCTCACTTAGTTATAAAAATTGCCAGTTACCCTAGCGTGAGTTTAACTTAGTGGTTAAGATGCTGGTGACATCCACACCTCGAATCAGATTGTCTGGTTCTGGCTTTGGTTCTGTCTTCTGCTAGTGCAGGTCCTGGAAGATAGTGATAATGGCTTGAGTAATGGGCTTCCTGCCCACCCATTGGGGAGACCTGGATTGAGCTTTTGGCTCTCCCTTCAGCCTAACCTTGTCCTGACCATTGGGAACATTTGGGGAGTGAACCATTGCATGGAAACTCTTTCCATTGAATAAATAATAACAGTAACCACATTTAGTATAAATTACCATATGAAGGCCACTAGGCATGACTTTCTTTTTTTTTCATAATATTCCTTCTTCTATGTATCAAAACTCACGTTGAACAGTGAGTTCTGGGTTGCAAAAGAGGATTGATTTTTTTTTTGTACTGTCTATGAAGTCTGTGTCACAAGTTGGACAGAAACATACCACAGTGTCAGTAGGCATGACTTTCATTTCCTTCGTCTTGGTCACCTTTTTGGCTACTGCCCCCCGGATGGCAGGGGTTCCTGTTTGTGCCGCTTTTCTCTTTTCCTCTGCTCTGGCTTCTTACCCGTTTAGTCACTTTGTGGCATTTTGTCTTTGTGGGCACGTCCGCCCAGCTGCCGTTCGTGGCCCACTGCCTTTGGTCACTGCTTTCACGCCTCAACCCTTGCTTGTTGCCACCTTCCTTTCCTGCCTTTTCTGTCGCTGCCACTGCTCCTTGCCACTTGCTGTTTGTGGTATTGTGAGTTTCATCATGCCTGGTAGAGGTGATTAAGAAGTGGCTATGTTTGGCTTTCAGTTTGTTATTCAGGATTTTCTGGTTGCCATTGATGATGTTGATTTTATTGGTGAAATGCAAGACTGATAATTGTTTCAAAAATATTTATTGATTTTTTTTTTTTATTAGAAAGGCAGATTTGCAGAGAGTAGGAGGGACAGAGTAAAAGGTCTTCCCAAAATGGCTGCAATAGCTGGAGCTGAGCCGATCTGAAGCCAGGAGCCGGGAGCTCCCATGTGGGTGCAGAGTCCCAAGACTTTGAGCCATCCTCTGCTGCCTTCCCAAGCCATAAACAGGTTCTTAAAGCTGGATGGGAAGTGGAGCAGCCCAGATATGAACTGGTGACCAAATAGGATGCTGGCTCTTGCAGGAGGATTAGCCTGCTGAGCCACAGCACCAACCCCAAGACTGATAATATTGAAACATATTTTAATCAGTGCTATAAAATACCCAGTCAGTGCCATGCAAACAAAATCCTTAAATCAGATTGTGCCCAAATGGATTCTAAATTCTACAAGGAAATGAATGATCTTGGAAGAAAGTATAGTGGGCTTTATCATATATATTTGCTTTTTAAAATTCCACGTGCCCAGGCTGTGGTCCAGGCCGATTAAATCCCCAGCTCTTTTTTGTGCAGCTCAAGTTAAAGCACTGCTCTGAAAGAAGCCTTCATTTTTGCTTCCCTTTTTAACAGTGCTGACTTGATCAGAAATATGGTTTGGAAACTTGATAAATATATTCTGAAGTAGCTAAAATATCTCGTTGGTAAGTGTATGAGGTCATAATTGGCCTTGGTTTGAACCCAGTGGAGGTGTAGACATGCCTGGTATTTCTGATTCTTCTTTTTCTGATAAGCGAGAAGCTGTAGGCTCAATAAAATCAGACGTAACGGAAAGGTTGTTCCTCTGGATGGTGTTCGGAAACAGCTGTGATGCAAGGAACGCGAGGTGTAAATTGAGAGCAGACAGTTTTCAAGCACTCTTTCTTTCAATCCTTCTGCCTTTTTGAGATCTGCGATGCCTGCTGCAGACAGTGGACAGGGGCACTTTTTCAGTGAGTCTTAAGATCAATGTAGTAGGGCCCAGTGCAGTAGCCTAATGGCTAAAGTCCTCGCCTTGCACGTGCCAGGATCCCATATGGGCGCCAGTACTAATGCCAGCAGCTCTGCTTTCCATCCAGTTCCCTGCTTGTGGCCTGGGAAAGCAGTCGAGGATGGCACAAGGCCTTGGGCCCCTGCACCTGCGTGGGAGACCCGGAAGAGGCTTCTGGCTCCTTCCTTTGGATTGGTGCAGCTCTGGCTATTGCAACAGCTTGGAGAGTGAATCAGCAGATGAAAGATCTTCTTCTCTGTCTCTCCTCCTCTCTATTTATCTGCTTTTCCAATAAAAATAAAAAAAAATCTTTTAAAAAATATTTTTTTATTAAAAGGCAATAAGACTTAAACATAAGAAAAATATAAAAGAAGATAAGATAATAGCCACTCACATTTACCTGCACTATTAACACTTGGGTGACTGCCTTTTTAGAAATTTCTCTGCCCAAATACATGCACAATTTTAAAATAAGAGAAATATGTGTGTTTATAATCAGTCTTTAATCTACCAATGTTGTCTGTCTATCTTTCTAAGTCAAATGTCGGTTTGTGTAGTTTTCCTAGGACTTTGAAATATTATCTAATGATTGCATGGTATAATTTAATAATGTATTTTCCTTCCATTATTTTACTACTATAAACAAAGGATAACTCTTGCATTTTTGTGCACTTATGTAGTTATTTCCTTAGTACAAAGTCAAAAAAGTGAAAAAGGTACCCAATTTGGAAATAGGTATTATATACTGAAAGTTTCCTGCCATATAGGAACTGTTGGGAAGCAGCATGTAAGAACTGTGTTTCTTCAGTACTCCCAGCAGCTTTGGGCTTGGTTGGTTGACGGGGTGGTCGTGTGGGAGAAGCTGTGAAGGTGGGCAGAATTTGAAAAGCCTTCTCCTGCGGCGTGTTGTGCCTGCTCCTGGCATTTCCCCCAGCTGGCTGGTGATGAAATCAACTCTTGTGTTGTTGCAGATCACGGGATGGCTCCAAAGGTGACTTCAGAGCTGCTGAGGCAGCTGAGACAAGCCATGAGGAACGCTGAGTATGTGACGGAGCCAATCCAGGCGTACATCATCCCGTCGGGAGATGCCCACCAGGTACTGCGTGCACACGGCCTGGTGCGGACACGCCTCGCCTCTCTTCTTGAAGTCTTCTTTTCCCAACCTGCAGGGGTTTGTGGAGTTCTGGTTGTCAGAACTTGATACGGACACTTGTGTCCAGTAGGCCCTCCTCACTAAATGTTTGTGGAATTCGTGGTTTCCTGTTTTCCAATGGATTTAGCCAGCTTTGAGTACATTTTAAGAATGAATGAGAGAATGAAGAGGCAGACCCCTTAACCTTTCTGTTGCTGATGATATGTTGAACCCAGTGCCCTGCCCTGCAACTTGTTAGCATACTTGTCTGCCCTGCATCCTTCCTGTGCATCCAAAATGGGCATCCTTCTGGCGTGGCCAACAGAGCAGAAAGTCATCATGGGTATCTACGCTAGCAGGTGTTAGGAATGATACCGATTCCCTTGCCGTTAGCCACTGTCCTTGGCAGAAGCAGCTTAGTGTCATTTCCCTTGGAGAACCCTAGGGATTGAATTCAAGGAGAGTTGAGTTTGGACAGAGATGTCATGTGATCAATCCAGAGGGCAGGAAGATGAAAGGGCGGAGGGATGCAGCAGGAGGCTGAGGAGTCAGCAAATGTTTGAGTGCCTACATCACCATAGTGGCGTTGTTGTGTTTCAATGATGATTGAATGTATAAAATGCAATTCTCCCATAGACTCGAATATTTTTTACCCTTTGCTTATGTGCAAGGCACTGCCTGAGGTCTTGGAGGTGACTCAAAGATCCTGTACCAGGGAATACACAGCTTAATAATGGAGTTAGAATGTGCACTGGTGTGTCTGTCTTGCCAGGCAGGATGCAGTAATTGCTATCAAGAAAATCTAAACGGAGGGCCGAGGGCCGTGGGCAGTTGAGAGTGAGAGGGAAGAACAGTGGAAGACTTCCTGGGATGGGACTGGAGGGTGGGCGGGAGAGGAGGAATTTGCACTGGGCCTTTATTGAAGAATGGGCAGAGTTTGTTAAAACAGGTGGAAGGTGGTCGAGGAGAGACGTGGTTCTAGGTTAGAAGGGTGAAAAGGAGTGAAGGCAAGGAAGCACAAAGCTTTGAATCCTTTCCAGAAATAGTGTGGTGAGTTTGCCTGGCAAGAGCCCATGGAAATGAAAAGCAATGGTGGGAAATGCCACTGATGTTCCTGGATTCTTCAGCTGCAGGCAATACCTTGTAAGGGCTTAGAGGTGGAGCCACTGACCTGACAGAGCTCCAGGTTGTGGGTTGTGTCCTGGGAGTTGCACGTGTGTGGAACCTGAGGGTGGGGAAGCAGTTAGCCCTCCACAGCTTGGGGTAGGGTGTGATTTTCAGCTCTGGGTGCATGTCAGTTTCCTTCTAGCCCACAGCATAGGTGGGATAAATTTGACAAATCCTGATTTGAAATTTTAGATTTCTACTCTCTGTTTTCTGGTTTGAGCTAGAACCTTTATTCCAGATCAAGAGTCTTGTGTGAGAACTTGACTGGCAAAATAGTTCGGTGTTTTCCCCTCTGTCTTGGTTACTTGTGTGTTCTTGCACATGTTGCCGTGTGGCATAAACCTGAGTATGGAGATCCATCATGATGGAGAGGTGACCCATAAGGAAGCTGAGTAAAGATCCCAAAAACATGTCCACTCCAGCTGGCCTCCTTTCTGGCCCTCTCCAGATGGCCCTGCCCAAAGGGTTGTGACAATGTTAGGCCTTTGTTAGCTCAGGAATAGCTTGAAGGCTGGACCTCTGCCTAGGGTTTCCTGACTCCAGAAGCAAAGAAAGGGCTGAAATGAATAGTAAGGGTAGCTGCTTGAGGTTTAGGATACTGATATTCAGAACAGCATTCCCCAAACCAGTTCTACAACATTCCTGTATGTCTTGTAAGATATTCTGCAAAAGAAGCATTTGTAGCAGTCAAGAAAATAGTGAAATAAATTGAGCTTTTGTTTTTTTTTTAATTGTGCTGACAAACATGTAACCTGAAATTTAGTATCTTGCCAGTGTTTAAATGTGCAGTACTGCGATGTTAATTACATGCACAGTGCAATGCAACATACTGTAGAACTGATTCATTTTGCAAAGCCAAAAATCTGTATCATTGAATCATAGCTGCCCACGCTCCCGGCCTCCCGCTCCATCCGCTCCCCTCTGTTCTCTGTTTTGGAGAGTTAGACTTTTGCAGAGGCTTCGTAAGACTGGAGTCATGCAGTATTTGTGTTTTTGTGACTGGACTGTTTGACTTGGCACAGCATCTTCAAGGTTCATTCATATTATAGCCTATGACAGACTTTATTTGAATTTTAGGCTGAGTACTATTCTACTGCATGCATACTATATTTTTCTTTATCCACTCATCTCTTGTTTTGGTGCTTCAGCCTCTTGGCTATTGTAAATAATTCTGCTGTGAACATTGGTTTGCAAATATCTCTTTGCAATCCTATTTTTAGGAGCTGGTGTGATGGCAAAGTAGATTAAGCCACCACCTGCAACTCTGGCATCCCGTATGGTCAAGTCCAGGCAGCTCCACTTCTGACCCAGCTCCTACCTAATTCTCCTGGGAAAGCAGTGGAAGTACTTGGGTCCCTACACTCACATGGGAGAACCTGAAATGAGCTTCAGCCCGGTCCAGTACTAACCATGGTAGTCATTTGGGTAGTCAATCAGCAGATGGAAGATCTTTGTGTTATTCCTGCTCTTTCTGTAGCTCTGCCTTTAAATAAATAAGTAAATCCTTTTAAAAAATCCCATTTTAAATTCTTTTGGATACATATATCCAGAAGTGAGATTGCCAGATCCTCTGGTAGTTCTGTTTTTAATTTGGTGGAGCACCTCCCTGTTGTTAGCCAGGGCATTATTTTATACACCCACTGGGAGTAGCGCATGAAGGTTCTGCCCTGTCCACATGTTTGCCACTGTTTATTTCCCGCTTTATTGGGACGGGCCATCCCAATGGATGTGAGGTGATTCCTTGTGGAGTTCTGATTTATAGTTCCCTCTTGGTTGGTGATGTTGAACATCTTTTTGACTGCTTGCTGGCCGTTTGCTTATCTTCAAGTCCTCTGTCCAAGTTGACAGTTTCTTAACTGCAGGGCTTCTCTGGGCTTTTAATATGCTGATATGCATTGTGCATCTCTAGCGAGGAGATAAAAAATGTTCAACAGTTTCCAGACATAAATGTCCAGGGAATTCTACAGTTATCTTAAGGATGAGGTAGGCGATTCTAGTGTTTCATGGAATGCCTTCATGTCTGGTTCACCAGAAAGCTTTTTGCGTCATGATGAATTAGAACTCGCTGCTTGAGGAGGGGAGAGGAGAGAGACCGCTGATAATGAGGTCAGGCATTTAGAGAGAGTGGAGGTGGGGAGCCGGGAGGCCCCGAGGTGTGTTCAGGGGGCTGTTTGCTGGCTTCTGTGCCCTACGGATTATAGAGAATGTGAATCAACCTGGAAGGTGGGTTGGTGGCCTGGGAGGAAGCCATGGGGGCCGGTATGTTAACATTACATTTAGAGGACAGTGGGAGGTAAGGCTGGACTGGAGAGGTTTAGGGTTGGATTGAGTAAAGGGCTCCTTCCATTTGTCTGTTTTCACTAGACTAAATCTCCTTATGGAGATCAAAGGGGAGCTAAGCCACAGTCACAGACGGAAGCTGGCAAATGTCACTGGGAGGGCTGCAGGCGGCATTTCTAGTAGAAGTGCTCTCAAAGCCATGTTAAAAACTAAAAGCAACAGGGAAATTGATTTTAGTAATGTATTTTCTCTACCCTATCTGTCTAAAATATTAGCATATTATTGAGTGATGAGATAAATGGCATTCTTTTTTCTTTTTTTTTAAGATTTTATTTTATTTTTATTGCAAAGTCAAATGTACAGAGATGAGGAGAGACAGGAAGATCTTCCGTCTGATGGTTCACTGCCCAAGTGGCTGCAATAGCTGGAGCTGAGCCGATCTGAAGCCAGGAGCCAGGAGCTTCCTCCGGGACTCCCATGAGGGTACAGAGTCCCAAAGCTTAGGGCTGTCATCAGCTGCTTTCCCAGGCCACAAGCAGGGAATTGGATGGGAAGTGGGGCTGCTGGGATTAGAACTGGCGCCCATATGGGATCCTGGGCGCATTCAAGGCAAGGACTTTAGCTGCTAGGCCATTGCACCAGGCCTGACATTCTTTTTTCATACTTATTTTTAGACATGTACTTATTTTTATTGGAAAGATATACAGAGGAGAGACAGACAGGAAGATCTTCGGTCGGTGATTCACTCCCTAAGTAGCCGCAACAGCTGGAGATGAGCCCATCCAAAGCCAGGAGCCAGGAGCCTCTTTTGGGTCTGCAACATGCATGCAGGATCCCAAAGCTTTGGGCCATCCTTGACTGCTTTCCCAGGCCTCAAGCAGGGAGCTGGATGGGAAGCCGGGCTGCTGGTACACGAACTGGTGCTCATAAGGGATCCTGGTGTGTACATGGCAAGGACTTTAGCCTTTAGGCTATTGTGCTGGGCTCCAAAAATCTTTAAAAAAAAAAAACACCTGAGTTCTATATTGAGGTGTCTGTGTTTGATGCCAGTTTTCAGTGTCCAACCACTGTGCAACCTGGGAAGCAGCGGTGATGGCTCAAATGGGGGTTCCGCCATCCACCTGGAGACCTGTTTGACTGTGGCCTCCCAGTGTCGGTTGCTGCCCAGCTATCAGTGGAGGATAGCACTTGCTTGTGCATACCCTCTTTCTGTCTCTCCCATTTAAAATAAAATTAGGGATGCTTGAAGATGGGCCCCACAAGGAGTGTCCTAAGCAAACCTATGGATGTGAGTAGAAGTGCCTAATGCTGTGAGGAAGAAAGAGAAAGTGGGGCTTTTCAGGACCACTCATGACTGGTGGTGGTGGCCTTGACCCCTAGAGTCAGGCTGTAGGAATTTACCAAGGAGCTTTTTTCTTTTTTAAGATATATTTATTTTTATTGGAAAGGCAGGTTTACAGAGAGAAGGAGAGACTGAGAGAAAGATCTTCCATCCTCTGGTTTACTTCCCAAATGGC